CCAGCTCTTCCTTGCAATACTCTCACTTGGCTCAGCACAGCTCTTTCCCTTTTGATCATTTGGGCTTTTTAGAACTCTTTTCTTGGTCTCATCATTTGGCTTTGAAGAGCTCTTTTTACTCTTATGGAGGTGATGATTGTGAGGTTTAGGAGATATGGGTGGGTTGTGAAGAGCAAGGAGGTAGTGGGTTGGCTAGCCTTCTTGAGTCTCTGATGATGGGATTGCATCGATCGATTGCTGGGCTGCTGCTTAGAGGGATGTAGGATGAAGAGGAGGAGGAGGAGGATGACCCTTCTTCTCCCATGCCTAGACGTATGGCCGTTGCAGCTTGTGATGCACAGAATAAATCCATTCTTCTCATGTTTGTAAAGTGAGAAATGAGAGCAGAACTAGTGGTTTAGGGAATATGCAGTTGGTCTCGGAGAAGGGAGAGAGAGAGAGGAATCCTGTAGCAGAGTTGGTTGGTATGCTTTTAAACATGAGCTCTTGAGATGAGATAGAGAGAGGAAGAGGGAGAGAGACAGGTCCACAGAAGTTAAAAGAACGATAGGTAATATAGTAGAAGATTATAGCGTTTGTTTTAATGAATTGACACTTCTAGAATAAAACAATTCAGTGCACAATGCTCTCCTAAAGAAAATTATACAATTTCTCTCAATTACAAGGGCCCCAATGGTGAGAGCCCCAACTCAACCAAGCTTATGCATTGCAGATTAGAGTGGATGAAAAGTATAAAACAGTTTATCATTAACTATTAGGTCTCAGAATAAATACCTCATCTCTGCTTTTATGCCACATTATTGTCTTGTTGCCACCCAAACTTTCGTGTTGAGCAAGAGGCGTTCTAGTTGATTCAATCGTTCAAATAATAAATACAAATTGAAAAGACATATAATTAGAACGATTTTCAATAATTATTCACCCGTGGGATAGATTGTGTGTGTTTCAGTGGCCTGTTTATTGGTTGTGTAGATTTAGAGTACATGTTGAGGTACATTTATACTGTAAATTAATGTGCACTGTTGGACATGACCTACACACTTGGAAGTTTTTGAATGAAATCTTCAGAGAGAGCTGTCCATGAGTTGCACCAATCGACAAAGCAACGGTTAAATGGCCAGTGACAGCATACAGTAGTGCTAAATTTATTGATGGGGCATGTATATTAGAGTTCCAATTTTGCAAGTGAAATTCGTCACGTAGTTCGGATGACAAAAATCTTATATCTAATACTTTGAGATCCTAACTTCGAATTTTATAACTAATATTTTAGTTGGTTAGACTTGCGTGTTTTATTGGTAATAGCGTATATCCCAAATTCATGTATCAAAACGCGCACAATTGAAATTATTTCCGATTATTAAAAAAAACCCAACAAACCCAAAAAGGGGAAATATCCTATATAAAGATGTATCTACATTGACAAGAGCATCTTTAACTCTTACTCAAATTTAGATTCAAATTTAAATTTGTGTAAAAAAGTCTAAAAAATTTGCTTCAACCATTTACTCAAACTTATACCAAATTAAGGAAAACTTATTTTTTTTTACTCAAATCAAGAAAAATTCAAATATTTACTCAAATTTTAACAGTGAGATTTCAACATCTTTTGCCCTAATTTAAATTTGGGTCTCTCCTTTTTTATATTTGAGTTTGTCTATTGGAATGTTTTATATCAAATCAAGCATTTTACTCAAATATTAATTTAAATTTGAATAAAAATTTGAATCATGATTGAAAATACTCTCCTATATCACATTCTTCCCCAAATGAATTTAGCCACACACCTCCCAATCTGCAGGACATATTAAATTTTGGGTATGGCATACATTTTGATTACCCAGCAAACTTGGGTCCCTAGAGACACAGGCATGAGGCTCATATTACATGTAGTTACATCATTCAGCATTTAGTTCTGTTTGCAGTGCCTCCAAGTTTCAATCATGTTTAACAGAGGCAGGAGGTGAAGCTAACTTTATTGGTGAATAGCCTCTCACCCCTCTTTTTTTTTTTGGTTGTTTTTTTTTTTTTTTTGGGGGGGGGGGGGGTGTGGGTGGGACGGGGGGAAGATAGGGGTGAAGTTTCAAACCCAACTCATAGATTTGAGTAGTAAGGTATAGTTTCAAACCCAAGTCATAGATTTGGGTACATGATCCAAATTTGAATAACTAAATTAGAGTTGAATTTTATAAATTTTAACTCAATTGCATTAAATAGTCACTTAATTTCATCATATATTCATTTATATCCATATGGTCCCAAAACGTACCATGTTAGAAATGGTTTTTTACAAATTCATGGAATATGAAAGTTTACGGATTAACCCATGCTTGACCACTCAAATTCGGGTTGAATTTGTGAATCATAACTCAATCCATTGCCAGCCCACTGATAAGGGCTGCCCGTACCATTCATTTGGTAGTTCCAAAGAATGAAAACCTGATGGTCCCAGCCAATCTCTAAGAAAAAGAAAATGAAAAGAAGAAAAAGACTACAGGGCAAGCAGGCACAAAGTGACATAACCAGTAAGGCATTGACAGCCATAACTATACTTTTTTTTTTTTAGAAGGTATCCAAACTTAGTAAGAGACTACTCTCTTAAGTTCAACGACTAACTACTATTGCTTGAGCTGAATTAGAACATGTCCCTAAAGGAACAAAGTTGATTAGCCTTTAGGATGTGTGAAAAAGAATTGAACTAGAAACTTTTAAATTATCAAAAATTACGTTCACCCAATGACTACCCAAAAAGTTTAACTATACCTTCTTTACTTTAGGCTCAGGCGGTCCAAAAGTGCCTGCATTGGAACAAAGATATGTACACCTTTCTTCTAGAAGTAGAATTATTGCTTTTCAGATTCTTAATTATGGAATAAATGCTGTCTATATACAATAGCCAAATGGAATTTTTGCTTCCTTTGGTTGACTGGGACACAAAGCAACTTTGCCTATCCCATAAACGCATAAAGCTAAGTTCTCTTCTCCAAAGTTTCATGGAATCAGATGCCAATTTATACAAGTAACTTTCTTTTTCTTCGTTTTCTATCTCTTTACATCCCTGCCAACCATGTCACCTCCTAAGAGTCCCAACTCGAAACGTTTCCAATATATTTATCGGGTTATTCGGATCTAGATCTCTTCTAGTATATTTTTTTAAGTTATTCTTAATGGTATATCACCCATTAATTTTGATCTAAGATCCATTTATATGTCGTGAATTTCACTTGAATATACAGTAGGTGACGTATTATTAAAACAATTAAGAAATATTTATTGTAGTAATCCAAATCCAATTTACCCTTTACTTTCTCTGTCTCCCTATCTCAATCTCGACATGGTCATTCATCTATTTATTAACTTCTCTTTTTCTTTTTGAAGTCTTTCTTCACCTGCTTTGTCTCTGTTCTTTCAAAGGTTATCAAGCCGGTTACGCACACTACCTGATGTTCGTCAAGCTTACTAAGCTCCACCTTCTACTAGTCTTTCATTCTCACGAAATGAAATTGTTGCTCATCTTTTCTTTCTTTTGTTTTTTTGGTTCAACGGTCAGAAATGTTTGAACCCCGACTAATTCCCTCCTTAATCCACTTCAAAATAATTTATTCACGTCGAGACTAGGGTATTTATAAGAGATAAATCTCTCATGCCCTGACTTTAATGGGTTATCAGGATTCGAATTAAGGATGTATGAGTTTACGGCTCATCTTGTTGTCACTTGAGCTAACCAACTTGCTTGCGCATCTTTTCACTTGCAGCACAAAGTGGGTTTGCTTTTGTCAGTTGTTTGTACAAAGCACTAATGGATGACAATATTGTCGATGCAAAAGAAAACACACACACACAGAGGTGTAGGACACTACGTTATGGTCAAAATACATTTTCACAGATACAAAGTAAACCATATGAATGATGAACCAACAACAGAGAGTAATTATCTAAAACTATCACCTGATTCATTTTTTCATGGTAAATAACTGGCACCAACAAGATGGTACTGCTACTTAACAATGATATAATCCATTTTTGGTAAAATAGAAAATGTTGGTTCAGTACAGCCTTTACAACATAACAAATCTGTGGCCAAAATGAGGGTCAAATAAATGCCTTTGTCATCAACAATTCATTTGAATCAATACAATTTCAAAAATAAAGATATCTTCGTAATGGTATTGCGTAATACTGAAATTTGAGGCAATGTAAACAAAGAACAAAAAATCGTAACGAACAAAAACATGGTTTTCACACTATACATACTGGTTTTGTCGTCCCACCTATTTGTGCCCTCTCCCTTCATCTTCATTCAAAATGCGATTCTGAAAATCACTCACCATGAGAGGCAACCCTTGCCTCAGGGGTATTTTTGGCTCCCAGTTCAGCAACTCCCTCGCTTTGCTAATATCTGGCTTCCTCTTATGAGGATCATCAGCAGTGTTCGGTCTAAATTCTATCGCTGCACTAGGATCAATTGTTTCTTTGACAACCTATATTTGTGCAGGAAAGTAAGTTCATTATGCCAATGACTGGACAGGAAGTGAGAAGACACATTTACCAGTAGAACACAAACTATGGTTATTTAATGAAAGAAGGAAAGACAATTAACCTCGGCAAGCTCTAACATGGTGAACTCTCCTGGATTGCCCAAGTTGAAAGGCCCAACATGCTCATTTTCCATCAGTGCCACCAGCCCATCAACCTAACATTAACAATTCGTTTGTAAATCTCTTCAACAGCATTTCAGTAGTTTAAGTGGAAAATGCTGTTGTTTCCCAGATTTCCACATGATAATTTTCCATGTGACAGAAAAATGGAAAAATAAAAAATAAAAGACGCATCCAATATTTTTAAGATTTGCCAAATCAACACGCAGTTTGATGTTGTATTTCTGTTCTGTATTTATGTCCTTAATTCTTAGATTCTAAAAACTATATTTTACACAAGCAACAAAAAATGACATAATTCCTTAAGAACCTAAGATTGAATTCATATAACTATATCACTTTCATTAGTTGGGTACGAGGTTCTCTGCAGATGAAAAAACAGCATTTGCCTAACCAAACCTAAGTAAAAGGAAGCAAACATGAAATAATGCATAACAGAAAATGAATCTGGAAGAGTCCCAGAAGTATTGGTAACATGCATAGCAATGATTGCATAACAATATATGAGATGCCAACTTACCAAGTCAGAGACAAATTGGAAGCTTCGAGTTTGCTGTCCATCACCATAAACAGTCAGTGGTTGCTTGCGAATAGCCTGCAGCACATACGTATTATTCTAAGAACGCCTTATGAATGAAAAAGTTTCAAAAGACAATCTCAACATTCGTTAATCAGTTATTATCATTTGTCAAAACCATAACGAAATCAGTCAGGGGATCAAACCTGTGCAACAAAGTTACTGACAACACGTCCATCATCTAGACACATGCGAGGCCCATATGTATTGAAAATACGAGCAATACGTACCTGCAAAGCGCAAGCACCATGATTAGTCCTACCCCATACCTACTTAAAATGCATGTGCTGAAAGTTACATGAGTGGGCATGCAGTACAAGGGCATACGAAGAATTCGCAACCAGAATCCATTCGTCTTACACTGAAGCTCGTTAAATTAGATAAATGCACTTTGCCAGTTTTCCTACCTGAAGCCAAACTGACGTCCTGTGACGAACCTGCAATACTTGAATTCAGGGGAGGAGCCCGAAGTTTCGCTTTGTGGGGGCACAAATTGTAACAACAATAATACACATGTACTTAATTCAAAGACCTAATCTAAAAACTTATTGCATTACTACCGTTGGTTTAGCAAAATATATTGCATTCAATGTTGACAATACATTATGTCCCAAAATTATATGCCAATCGTATTTCACTTTTCTCCATAGTAAGATTAAAAATTCTAAACTAATAATGAACAAAAAAAGGACCCAATATGCGCGTTCCTGCTACTACAAAATCTAGCAAGAGTCAAATGAACGAAACCTTATCCCGCATGCGAGAGAATGTTTCTACGACTTGAATTATTGGCCTCTAGGTCATAATAGAGGAACCTTATATTTGTAATTATCATCGACTTAATTTTCATATTATAAAATATATTAGCAATGGTGAGAGAGAGAGGTCAAAATATTGGGAGAGAAAAAGAAACTGCCTAAATATTATTTCAGTTGAGAGTAAAACAAAAATATAATACAAATTTAAAAAATGGTTTAATAAATTAAAATGAATGAATTTTTTGTGGGGACAAATTTAAAATATAATAAACATATACAAAAAACCTATGTAGCTAAGACCTATGTAGCTCTGCCTCTGCTTGAATTTTGGCAAAACAAAGGACTTCTGTTAAACTCAAAAATTCTGAAACAGCAAATTTTACATCTAGAAGGTCCAGTGTGCCTAATAGATGTCCATCTAAAAACGTCTTTTCAAGCTCACAAACACTGCTGAGAACGCCCCTCCCCCTCCCTTCCCCTTCCCCTTCCTATCTGCTTCTGTTCATTCTCTTCATGTTCACCAACCAAGCCAAGTTGAACTCCAGCACCAGTTCCACCTGGTGTAAAACTGCTGTCTGTTTGCAAGAACTAGCAGAGACATGAATGCACATTGTTTTGGATTAGATTGATTGTCTAATAAGCTTATGGTTTGGCAAGGAATTTTATACTTGTCCACCAGGTTGTTTACAAATGTGTAAACAAGAGATGAATCATATGTTAGATTTCAAGGTATGTTACTCAATTGAGTTTAATGGGGCTGATAAGATGCACAGAAATGGAATGAGCGATAGTCATTTTTGGAGATGTAAGCTCCAAAAATTAAGCACACAAAATAAATAGATTTGAAATCTATATAGCATAAATGATGACTAAAGAAAAATCAACTGAATGCATACAAGGCAAGGGTTCATGGATATGTTGGCCATGGCTTTATTTCTCAGCTATATCATTCACAAGATCAGTGAGGAGTTGAGGAAAACATGTTTCATTCTAAAATTACCTCTAAAGAATAACAATGCATCTCAGGAGGAATGAAAAGTATTACTTTGCTTTCCTTCTAAAATTGCCTCTAAAGAATAACAACGCATCTCTGGAGGAATGAAAAGTATTACTATTCTGATACGATAATATTTGACACCCAAATGGAATTTTGACACTAAATTGCCCTCATATCAAGTTCAGCATCTATGACAGTCCATGTGCAAGTCAGCATCAGGATCTGTTACCTCAACCTCTGCCCCGCGATGATAATCCATTGTCAAGGTTTCAGCTGTTCTTTTCCCTTCATCATAGCAGCTTCTCACACCTACATCATTTTAAGTACGTAAACATTATGAACATCATCACAACAAACAAGAATCGATTGATAAACAGACAAAAGTAAGTTGCAGCTAACCAATTGGATTCACATTTCCCCAATATGACTCCTTTTGCGGATGTTCCAGTGGATCACCGTAAACCTCACTTGTACTTGTGAGCAAGAACCTCGCACCAATTCGCTTTGCTAGTCCCAACATGTTAAGTGTGCCTACCACATTGGTCTTGTAATCACAGTCAAGGATCTCAAGCAGTTCCAAATCACAAACAAGCGGAAACACTTACTCAAAATGCACACACACCCCGTAATTCACAAGCATGTTAATGATCAAGGAGACATGATAGTGTTCGCGACACATACACATCAACAATTCAAAATTATTAAGATGTATGTATATGGTAGTCTTGACAGCACACACACAACCATTGTAATGATCGATAAGGATATGATAGTTTTCACCGGGTTGTACTTATAATGAACTGGCGAAGCCGGGCAAGCCAAGTGATAGATCTGATCCACCTCTAACAAAATGGGTTCAACAACATCATGTCTAATAAGCTCGAACCTCGGATTCCTAAAATGGTGCATCACATTTTCTTTCCTTCCAGTAAAGAAATTATCAATGACGATCACATCATCCCCTCTGGCAATTAGCTTATCAACCAAATGGCTCCCAACAAATCCAGCTCCACCAGTAACCACTATTCTCAACCTTCTTCGTCCAATGCCCACCGGAAGCCTTCCAGCCGCCTTCCCAACCCCAAAATTGCTCACACCACGAAATGGGTCTGACATAGATTCATGACTGATGACTGGAAAAAATCTGGGTATTGAAGAATGGGGTTCAGAAGGGATTAGCGGGGACAGAGATGGTTGGATGATGAAGAATGTGGAGCCAATGAGAAAACCCACCAGGATAAAGATCAGTCTTTGTTCTTTGAATAGGTAGTTAACCGATCTTGAGAGAGATCTTGGGTGTTTGAGAGTTTTGGGTGAGTATGGGGAGGTTAAGGTTGTGGGCATGGTTTCATCTCGTCTGTGATTCAAGCTGCATTGTTTGTGCAATTGTTTCATAATGCTCAGAGATTTGAACTTTCTGGGGTATTACAGTATTGCGAGGATTGAATTTTAGGTGCTGAATTCTGGGTTCATGAGAAAATTTAGAAGGAAATTGTAGCTGAATTGAAGAAAGAGAAAGAGTGGGAGAGTGTTGAGCTAGAATTGATGCTCAATGAGATTTGTAGGTGTTCGGTTAATTTTTGTTGGTGTGAAGAGGAAGATACAGTTCAGCAGCTGGTGAATCTCTTTCAATGCATAAGTTTGCAGAAAGAGAAGGAGAGTATCTGTTTTGGCGTATTTATGCGTAGGGTAGGGCGAATTGCACTTCCTATGTAGAAAGATTTAAAAAAACGGTTAATTGCATCGAAAGTCGTATAAAGTTTGTTTTACTTTCATTCTCTAATATTTAAAACTAGTAATTGCCCGTGCCTGAAGGCACGGCGTAGCAAAAAATTAAATTAAAACTCAAAGAATACTACATTACCTAAATACTATTTACAACCTAAAACAATCTGTCAATTTAAAATCAAGGTAGTTCATACTATTATTCAAAAATTTCGGCAAAATTTTCTCTAAATATAGAAACCCATAAAAATTTTACACTATCTACAGAATTTACAATCATACATAACAATTATTATAATTCACTATACCACCACAATAATAATCAATACATACCCATCATTAACATATATCCAACCACCAAAACATCAAGCTAATTCCTACTAATTTCAAGAAATTTCGGCAAAATTTCCTCTAAAAATAGAAGCCCAAAAAAATCTGAACCTATATACAAAACTTACAACCATCAATACATACCCAACCACCATATCACCACAATCATCATAATATATCATATCACCACAAGCATCAATACACATCCAACCACCAAAATTACCATCATTTTATACCAAAAATCATCATAACCATGTACAATTAGTTCACTCTAAAAAAGACGGAACACAAAAAATACATATATGCACAAATAAAGAAACACCTTCAACTTCATATTGACATCCTTCCATGTATACTTGAAAATATTTGAAATATAAAAATTATCAAAATATTTGAGGCAAAATAAAACAATTGTAAATCCGAAACATAAAACCCCTTAATTTTAGAAAGTAAATAAATCAGCATGTTCTAAGCATTGGCATAATGATACATTATTAAAATGACATTTCGTCAGCTTTGTTTGTATCGAATGCCAAAATTCTCGCCACACGAACTACATCGCTTTGATTTCATGTTTAAGGGCATCCAATCCAAAATCATTGGGCCATGATGGGAGAGACTCATCAGAAACATAAGTTAGTGTTACTGCAGTGAAATATGAGGGAACAACCACAAGAGTAGAATTTCCCAAGGGCCATTGATGGGTAGATGCACTACTAATATACTAAAGTACAGTGAATTAAATGATACGTTGAGAATAATATAGCTAAACGCATGCTGTTTACAAACTACAGATGAATATTCTGCTATGTATCACATTCAGTGGCTAGGCAGTTAGCCACAGTTGTAGACCTCATGGTTGTCTACACTCAAAGATCTTTAGTGTTGTAATGAAAAAAAAAAAAACTGGAATCTCAGGCCTTCCACAAGAGCAAGCTATTACAGTAATTTCCAGCTTCAAAATCATGATCTCATAATATCTCCCACGAAATAACGAAACAAATATAGTTATTTGGAAAATAAAATGAGAAAATGCAACAGAAAAATATTGGCATCTATACCTATATTTAACATAGAAATCCGCATCCCACAAAGCAACAACTGTAGTAAAAAAAGACTTCGTCTTGGCCGACAGTTCAAGGTACCCCTCAATGTGTTCCTGCACGCATCACATTTACATAAGGTTCAGTAGGTTTGCTTCCCAGAATAACATATATTAGGAGTAAGCATCCATTTCACCTATGCAGGTGGGCATAGGAGTGGGCATACTCCCCCTTCCCCATGGTGGGAGGTGGGCATGATTAATTTTTGTCCAATGCAGATAACAAAAAAGTGAAAGAGACACATGATACAATGACAATACCAGCCTCAGAAAGTCTCCATGCTTCCTGTCCTCTGCTTCAATAGCCCTATCAAGAATACTGCCTGTTGTACACAATTCATCCATCATAAGTTGCATTGGCAAGAAATATATGGATGTAGTTATCCACATTAACATAGTAATAAATCTTTATCTTCAAACACTATGGTTTAAAGCTCTAAAAATTGAGTAAAACAGGGAATCTTAATAAAATAGATTTTCAAATAGATCTATTACAAGCATTAACTAAGTGTTTCCCTGTCAAAAGCAACCTCAACCAAAAAAAATAAAAGGATGAAAAAACCCTTTCTTTAGTCTAAATTAAGGAAACAATATAATATTTCAAATCAACATTAAACTATACTATGAAGGAATGGAACATTAAACTATACTTATCAATATTCTCATTATTCCTTCTATCTCCATCATCAATTCTTTTGTCCTGATTCAAAGTGGTTTTGAATTATATTCACCAGGTAGTATCAATTTCTAAATTTGCCACCCTCATCAACAGCTAGATTGGGCATTAAGTCTAAAATTCAGCAACATCCAACACGTACCACAAAGGGAAAAAAACTGTTGCTTCTATTATTCAGCCCAATTCAAACAACAGTCACCCCAACTTGAATTGGACCAAAAGTAAGTAATCTAAAGCTTCCATCTTTCTGTTAATGTGGTTAACATTAACAGAATTCGTTAAAATTCGGAAATTCAGCAATGATTTTACAGAATATGCACCACCCAAAAGCTTCAGGTCCTCGCAAATCGCATCCAAACACTAACCCCCATAAAGCAATTTTTTTCAACTTTTCCACAACCAGAAACCCAGGAACCTCAACACTACACTCGATCCAAAAACCCAAATTGGAACCCATTTCAAGCACCAACCATTTCTCTAGCAGAAATGAAAATGTTTTCAAGCACTCGGTTTCTGTAGCTTTCTGCAATCAAAATGTTTTCCAATCTTTGAGCAGAAATGATCATTTTCGACTTCAGCTAGAGAGAGAGGTGGGTATGTTTAATTTGCTGTGGGTCGTGAAAGGGGGAGAGGGAGGTACCTGGGCTGAGCTTGGTGAGCCGCTGTGTGCCGCTGTGTTGAACGCCGTTGGTGTCGCTGCTGTGTTGATCGCCACTGTGTGCCGCTGCTGAGCCGGTGTCGCTGCTGCTGAGCCGTTGTGAGAAGGGTGTGGTAGAGGGGTAAGGGGTCTGGGTTGCTGTCTGGGGTGAGGCATGGCAGAGGAAATGGGTATGTAGGGAAATGGGTGAGGCATGGCGGGAGACAGAGAGTAGCTGTGTAGGGGAATGGGTTTGATTTGAGTAACTGTAGGCGTGTGGATAAAAATGGGCGGGATTTTTTTTTTGGGTTGAGATGCATTGCAAGCCATTGGATTGAAATGGAAGAAATGAGATGAAAATGTGGGCCTTTGAATTAAAAGTGGATTTAATCTGAGCCGTTCTTATGCTTTTCCAAATAAATTAAATTTTAAAGTAGAAAAAAATTCAAAATGAGTCCTATCTTATTAGTAAAGATTTTGAAATATTAAATATATTTTTATATAATTTCTCGAACACATAATATTTAAATTACAAACAATTTTTTATTATAAACTTGTCACTTGAGCTTTAAATATTAGTAAAAACTAATTTAGGTAACTCTTGACCAAAATTTGGGTAACTATTAGTCAAAAAATTGCCAATATTTGAGTAGCGCTCGACAAAAAATGTATGATGTGGGTAACTCTTAACTAAAATTTGAATATCTCATAATCAAAATTATGTAATTTGGATAGTTTTTTAACCAAAATTTGGGTAATAATTTAGTCAAGAGTTATTCAAATTATTTTTTTTTGTCCATATTTATGTATTACGTGACAAGTTTATATAAAAAATAATTAGTAATTTGAATGATGTTTGCTTGAAGGACCACATCAAAATATATTTAATACTATAAGGACTAAAATAATGTAATTAAAATATTATAAATTAAAATGAGATAAACCTCATACTTTGGGGATCTCAAGTGTAATTAATCTTCAAAAAAAATTTGTTTTGAACTCTTAAAAATTAATTTTTTTGTTATATCTTTTTATTATATTAGTTGTTGCACATGTGCGTTGCACGTGAATTATTTTGAATATAATTTTTTTTAATTATTGTTTGTGTCAGGACTCTGTAAGTTAAAATATTGTTCAAGATTGAAATATGATAAGAAAAATTGTACTATAGTGGTTTTTGGGAATTTTTGGTATTTGTTTGTCATTAAAAAATTAAAACAAATTCATTGAAGAAAAAAAATGAAATATGAATAACTATTTACGAAATACTAATAAATATTGAGTGATTTGGTTGGCATGTCCGTATGGACTATAGAATATTAAAATTTTATTTTAGTATTGAAAATCCAAGATAGACCAACATAAAAAGTTTTTTTTTTTTGGGGACAAATCTAATCTTGTAGGTGCTAAAACTTAAATAGTCGACAAGAAATCTGTTTTACTTAATTCCTGCATTTATTATTGTAGAAATAGTAAGTTCTTATTATCTTTTTTACATAGAAAAATATAATCACATGGAACGTTAAAAGGTATATCACTAGGCATGAGTTATAATAGATGACAAAAAGATCATTAAAGTTTCATTTATCTAGATTTAGTACTTTATTAAGCAGCCAAAGAGTTTTGGCTTTGAAAAAAAATAGTCCTCTAACACCATGAAAACATTTCTGATAACATAAACAATAAGCTATAATATAGTTTCAGATTAATAGTAGCTATGTATGCATAACGTGATCCCTATTATTTACTAAACCCCATAAAGCAATTTACCAATTACCCAACTTAAAATTTTTTCCCATTCTCCTATTCTTTTTCTAAAAATTGCAGGTACAAGAAATTAGTTGTAAGATTTATCAATTTTTTTGAGTTATGCGCACACATGAAATGCTTCCCCCCCCCCCTTTTTATGAAACAAAAAGAAAAATTTGTAATCTAGTCATAAAAAAATGTCATAAATAAATTCAAAAATATGAAAAATCTAATGGTTACATATGAAATTTGAGTGACTATAAAAAAATCCTTCCCTCATCATCAACCCACCAACCCAGTTCCATAGCATTGCGACACTAAGAAAATCATGTGAAGTGATAAGTGGCACTGAGTGGAATAAACTTGATGATACTATCCATTCTCCGCATAAGTTACGTAAGTGCATTAAATTTTTATAAACAATGCTGCACTGTATTAGAAACTCAAAAATCGCTGTTCTAAGGTTATGATGAGATATGAATTATCACATTCTTATAATTCTAAAAATAGAAACAAGTCAAATTATCATCAATCTTAATGAAAGATAAACATAGATATTGACTGTTAATCACGATAATTAAACCACATAAAAGAACTAAATGAAGAGAAGATTTAACCATTACCCCAACTATCCAAGTAGTTCTGTGTTAGTTTTGTTGGTGCACAATGACATTTGGCACTACAATCCAAGGACCAACCTTGTCGGGATCAAACCCCGCAAGCTAATCTTTGGCCTTTTTATTCTGTTTCTCTGCAAACTGGAATCCTAATGCTAACCAACAAAAAAGTCAGGGTCTAGTTTATATACGGTGAGGAGAAGAAAAGAAGAGAGTCGTGACCCCTTGTCTACTCAATTTACCTAATTGCAGATATTAATTAAGTAGAGGATATGAAAAAGTGGAGAAACATCTATATAATAAAGTAGCTTACAATTCAAATCTTAAAAGATAAATAAAATGACTTTTGCTATTCGCGGTTGAGATCGCTTTAAATTTTACTTTAAAATTAATCTAACAGCTAATATTAACACCCTCAATTTAATAAAAAAAATAAGACCCAAAGGGTATGGTTGTAGTAATTTTTTAAAAGTACATTTAGAAATTATTTTTCATAAATATTTTACAAAAAAATAATATTTAAAACCGTCCCACCACCACCTTTACCACCCCCTACCACTACCGCCTCCACTATCACCACCACTGCCACCACCGCCACCACCACCACCACCACCACCATCGTCGTCGTTACCGCCCTCCATTATAAATCGATGTTTAAATTCTTTTATCTCTTTTTTATGTTTGTGATTTGATTTTAGATATGAATATAAATATATTTATTATTTATCATTTTTTATTATTTTATACCTTTAGACACAGTCAATAACTAATATTACTATATTATAGATAATAGTTATGGAGTTATTAAATGATACATAGTTGTCTTTACATATTTTTATAAGGGTAATATAAGAATTTAAAAGTTTTTCATGTATCTTGACATTTATAAGTAGTATAGATTAAAAGTGTTACAATATAACCCTTTCATCATCTTTCGTTATTTATTATACCAAAAATTATCACACCAAAGTTGACAAAATGAAAAACAAAAGCTAACTGAATATCCATATTGTAACACTTTTAAAATAATTTTTAAAGATAAAAAATAAAATTTTTAAATCTCTTAGGATACAATGTGTCATTCCCCTATTTGAAAAGCAGTTGTCATTGTTGTGGGACAAACTTGGGATCAGATAAATTGGGGATTCACAGATGCCCCTGAGACCTGAACTATGCCTCACATTTTCAGGATTATTTGGGCCTGTTTGGTACGTGTGGATTTGGGTGAAATTGAAAGGATCTGTATATCTGAAAAAATAATGATCTATTCCAACTCTTATTGACTCTAATTTTGGGCCTGATTTGGACATTTCACCAAAAATCATTGGACTCCAATGGGCTCGACTTCTTATTCTAGTGGATGGGTTTACTATCAAAAATCAAATAAGGTTAAATAAATAAGCCTCCTTCAGCTTCAAGAGAAAACATATGAACGAGGATTTTGTGAAAATAATTCAATACACTACTTAAACCCATGTTTAATTGAAGATTTTGAGGGCTGCGTTTTGTAGGGTAAATGAATCACACTCCACAATAAATAGTGAATTAAGATCCATGTATGAGGGTTTGATGAAATGAAACCCATTGGGGTCAATTTCAAAAGTGGGAGATTGAATTTGTAGATAAAAAGCCTACTTTATCCAAAATAAATTATTTTTTAATTCACCTAATAATGGACATTTTAATCACTTTTTTTTCTTTTCTTTTTTTGGTCATTAACATTTTAGTCATTTAAGTAACATGATTTGATATAAATTTATAGATTCCATATATATATATATATATATATATATATATATATATATATATATATATATATATATATATATATATATACGCCACTTATTAAATATGGGATTGAATATGATTTTTATTTGAATTCCATGTATAAATTCTTGGGGTTGAGTTTAGAAATACTTCGGATTTCGATTAGAAATGTAATCCAAGCCTTTAGATTTTGATAAAAAAAAAAAAATGTAATCCCATCCCCCCCCAAAAAAAAAATCCAACACAGGCCCTTTAAATTTTGATTCGCCTCAACCGCAATATCTAAAATTTTATCTTACACAAATATAATAATAGTTAGAATTGATCTAATCTTCATTTACTTTGATTTAATGTTACAAAATTTTTCCCAAATTTTTTTTTCCGTCCAAAAATATCAACTTCTCTGCACAATTCCTAATGTCAGATACCCAAGTAACACACTTTCCAATATTAAACAATTACATCAATTTATACCAACTTCTTTATTTATTTTAATTTTAAATTGTGTAATTAAAAAAAAATAAATTATTATTTAAAATATAAAATTACAAGATTAGTACACTTTTTAATATTGTGTAGTGTCTTTAGACATAAAGTTATTGCTAGTTAGTCTATAAAATGCATTAGAATCAACATTCCTATCTAATTGGACTATTATTTAAAACAAGTAAGTTCTACGAAAATTCACATAATGATACTCAACAAGTCATTTGTGTTATTATAAGGTTCATTCCAAATGGCACTCAACTCCAA